AGATTGACAAGCTGATCCTATAATTTATGTAGAAATTCAAGGGACTTAGATAGTCAAAATAATCTTGAAAACGAATATTATTGGAGGACTCACATTCATCAATTTCAGAACATAGTACATTGTCACTTCAGTCATCAAGACAGGGTGGTAATGGAATCAATCACTGGAAATGAATTGAGAGTGTAGAAATAAACCTTACATTTATGGCCTACTGATTTTTGACAAGGGTGTCAATGCAATTAAGTGAGAATAATCTGTTTCAATAAGTGATGCTTAAACAACTGCATATTCACCTGAAAAAGAAGAAGGCTGGACCTCTACTTCACATCAAATACAAAAATTAACTAAGATTTCATCAGAAACCTAGATTTAAGAGCTAAAATCATACATATAAAACTCTTAGAAGAAAATGTAGGTGTAAATATTTGTGACTTTGGATTAGGCAATGGTGTCTTAGTTATGATACCAAAAGTACAAGCAACAAAAGAAGATAGATAATAATAAGTATGGATGAGGATGTGGTGAAATCAGAGCCCTCATACACTGCTGGTGGGGATGTAAAATAGTGCAGCCACTTTGGAAAGCAATCTGAAAGTTCCTCAGCAAACTAAAGACATACCATGTGAACCAGCAGTTCTATTCCTAGTTATATACCCAAGAGAAATGAAAACATGTCCATACAAAAACTCATACATGAATGTTCATAACATTATTTGTAATAGCCAACAGTAGAAACAAACCAAATGTTCATCAGCTGATAAGTAGATAAACAAAAACTGGTATATCCATATAATGGAATATTATTTGGCAATAAGAATAAATGAAGCACTTAAACAACATGGATGAAACTTCAAAATACACTAAATGAAAGAAGCCAGTCATGAATAACAGTATATCATGTGATCTATTTATATAAAATGTCCAAATAGGTAAATCTATAGAGATAAAAAATAGGTTATTGGTTGCTTATGGCTGAGGAGAGGGAATAAATAAGGGTTGGGATATAATGGCTAAAGTATGGATTTCTTTTGGATAAAAACAAAAGTTCTATAATTGTGGATATGGATGCTCTGTGAAGCTAGTAAAAGCAATTTAATTGTACACTTTTTCTCCTCCCTGCAATCACCAAACTGTTGTCTGTGTCTATGAGTCTTTTTTCCTTTTTGCTCTTTTTTAGTAAAAAAGAAGAAAATTTTACCCTTTGTGACAATATTGGAAGGACCTAGAGAACAGTATGCTAAGTGAAATAAGCTAGTCAAAGAAAGACAAATACCATATGATTTCATCACATGTGGAATCTAATGAACAAATTGAACTAACAAGCAAAATAGGGACAGACTCAAAAATAGAGAGCAGGATGACAGCTAAGGAGGTGGGGAAAAATTAGGGGATGATGGGATTGAGCAAAAAGGAAAAAGATTAATTGTACACTTTAAATGAGTGATTATATAGTATGTGGATTATATTTCAATAAAGCTGTTTTTTAAAGAAAATCTGATCATTTTGTTGTAAGGCAATTTAATTTTTGTGAGAGAAGAGCCATACAAAATATGTTAGTATGATTTGGCAATGTTGTCAGCGTGCATTTCAATAATTACTACTATTAAAAAAGTACTTTTGAAGTGTTCTGAAAAGTTTTCATATTTTGAACAGATAAAAGTGTCATTTATTTTTCATTCAGTAGTATCCACAGTACAGCAACAGATACTAGAATCATTTGGGATTTAAGTATTAAAATGTAACTAGAATTACCCTTAAGATGAAGTTTTGCTAAGAAAGGGAAGCTACATTTGCAAGTACACTTGATTATACACATCTAAGATAGTGCTGGTTGGTTATTGAATATTAGTGTCATGCAAATCACTGTTGCTTCACCAATTTTAAAAACAAAATCATTGTCTTGTGTCAGTTATCTCAAAATCGCAGTTAAACACTGATTCTCAGAGTGTGAGGAGGAGGGATGTTACATGTAATTTAGGACTAATTGAAGTTAAATTCTTTACCTGTTCTGACCAAGTAAGAAAGCCACATAGAGGATAATCTGGTAGCTTTGTTAAGAACTGGGACTATGAGAGGCTGAGTCATGGGTAACTTTGGCTGTTGATTCTAACTTAATCCAGAATGGTCTCTGTGATCTTTGTGGATAAGGAAAATGGTGAATCAGGTACCTGAGTGGCTTCCAAGGACGGGCTGAGCTGGAGTCTGGGCCTTTCAGAGCTTTAAATGGAAAAACCTCATGTTGTATTACTACTTCTCATGTTGGCAAAATGTGTGAAGCTCCATCACTCTTACCTAAAGCTTTCAGAAAGGCTTGGGAACTATCAACCCAGCTACAAAAACGTCAGTAAAGATTAATGGGCCTCTCAGACAAAGACAGAAAACCTTCTCTGCTAAAAAGATGACCAAGAAGACTGTTAAAGCAAAAGGCTCTGTTCCTGCCTTGGGTAACATGTATCCAGATATAGAAAACTTATTTCCTTTCAATTCTCTAGATTTTGAGAGTTTTGACTTGCCTGAAAAACCAGATCACATAGCTCCCCTTGAATGGAGTGCCACCTCTCATGATGCTCAATGAGGAGAGGAAACTTGAAAAGGTTTATACCTCAGTCCTCCTTCACCCTTCACCATGGGAGTTTAACATTGCAGTTTCCTTCAAGCATTCTGTTGATTCTGGATGTTGAATTGCCACCTGTTTGCCCTGCCTTAGAGATTTAAGTTTCTTAGTGTTTTATAGTTTGTGTGTATGAATTAATAGTTTGTATTAATAAAGCAATTCTGTAACAGACTCATCTTTAAAAATAAAAACTGGGACTATGATAAGGATCTTGAAAAATGATTCTTTATATAACAAATCCTTCATTATTTGAGCTCTGTATTGTTCTGAATGGAAAATAAATTGAGCAAGTTTCCACATTTCAATAATTTTTCTCAAGTTTTACTAATAAGAACAATTGTATAAAACAAAGTACTGTAATTCTAGGAAATAATCAATTATGTGTTATTTTAAGGTTGAAGAAGATAACAATAGTAGAAGTGGCGAAATACAGCATTTTATATTGTGTTAATATATTGAAGTTTTTCATTAAATTGGATCAAAGGCAAAATAGCTTTACTTTTCTCTATATGATCTTAAATAAATTTTTTTAATTAGTTGTGAAATATGGACAGTCATAATCCAGAAGAGTTCTACAGATATTTCTACCATTAGAATCCAGAAAGATTTTTGTTAGTGTTACTTATATTTTAAACATAACTGCAATCGGAATAATAGGTTAAATTGTGAGCTTTCTAAATAGAACAAAAATTACTAATGTTTATTTATTGCCTTTCCCTTTCCCAAAGCCATTAAAAGCATTTCACTTGGTATCTTCCCTTCCCCTGACTTTTGAAAGGCTAAGGCAAAGCATTTTAAGGATTCTGTGAGGTCAGGAAGAGAAGAAAGAAAAAGATGGAGGATTGAGTTTTCTGGGAGTTTTATTAGAGAGGGAATCTGATGAAACTGGAGCATGAGGGAAGTACATAGAAGAAATATGGGTATTTAAAACTATTGTTCAAAAAAATGATAAAGTTTTCAATTGCCATTGGGTTCTTCTAGCCATAACACAGCTTGAAATGAGACAACATGGGTTGAAGATTTAATAATACTGGGAATCGTCAATAATTAGAATGGGAGTATGAGGGCAGAGAGCATAATCTAATCTGGAAGTGGTAGATATTGCCACATGGTGACATTCATTGTTTATAATTTTTGCTGATCAATATTCACTATTTTATTCTTGTTAAGGAACAAGTTATGTAGCTGATTTATGACCTACCACTTTTTATCATATGAATAATAATTACTTTTATTTTTTTCTTTTCTAAGGCATTGAATTTTATGTTGCCTTGGGGGAAGGGAACATAGGAAGAATAAGTGGAGTAAAATTTGACCCAGCATGTCTTCCTACATATAAAACAAACTTGGCAAATCTGTGTTTTCTTTTCTTGCCCTATCATCCACCCTACTCTTAACAAAAGTGGTAGCATTTTCTCTTAGTGGAAATGTAGGACACAGTCATTAAAGTAACTAGCTGTCAAATCAGTTCTTCAGGATTTTAGTATCAATCAATATAGTACCGTATTTTTCAGACTATAAGATGCACTTTTTTACCACATTTTTTGCTTCATATTTTTTTTCCTAATTTCCTCCTTTAAAACCTAGGTGCATCTATTTTTTGGACCATAAGATGCACCTAGGTTGTAGAGGAGAAAAATAGAAAAAAAATTGAAGCAAAAAATGTGGTAAAAACCCTGTGTCTTATAGTCCAAAAAATATGGTAATTGTCTTTTTCTCTTCTAGTGTTACTGTTTTAGCACTCAAAATTAAATTTATCAAGATACAACAAGTAGAAGAGTCCTAGAATAATCCTTTATATAGTAACTTGAAAGAGAATGGTCTTTAATATTATCTGTATATGTAGTATAATCATTGCATGCTGTTTCTGTATATAAGTTTCCAAAATAGAAAAAGGAAGCAATTTTCATAGATTGTCACTGATACCTCATAGATTTTTTTAAAGAAACATGTTTTTAATTTTACTGGACTTTTCATCATCAATATTTATGATGTCATCTAGCTTAAAATACTCAATATATATCTTAGAGCAGAATTGATTATTAGTCACGTAGGAAAAATAGTCTATTGGGGCCTTTCAGGTGGAACCTAACCTGTAGGGCTAAACTTTTATGGATTAGAAAGATGGATCATCAATGTTTTTGTTTTTATTCTGTGAAGAAGCAGAAATTAGAAAAGTAAATTGAAAATGTAGAATTGGTAAAGACTAGTTTAGTTCTGCTTTTTATTGGTAATATGACCTTCTACTATTATTACCACTCAAATTACTTTATTAACAAAAAGAAATCTCAGAGTTAGTAATTAGTTGAGTTCAGAAATATGTACACAGCTTGCAAACTGGAAAAATCTATTAGTTGGAAACTATTTGTTCATTGTTTTCTTGCAGGGAACAAATCACAAGACAGTGGCATAGCTGAAATGGAAGAACTTCCCGTACCACGTAACATCAAAATAAGCAACATTACATGTGACTCATTCAAGATTTCATGGGAAATGGATTCAAAATCAAAGGACCGTATTACACACTATTTTATTGACCTCAACAAGAAAGAGAACAAGAACTCCAATAAATTTAAACACAAGGTAAAATCCTAACACATATTTACATCTTAAAATCTTCCTAAGTATGAGGATATTTTGAAAGAAGGAATAATGTTGTATTAATTACTTACATGATTCATTTGACATTGGGAAGAATAAAAATTATATGTCACTTAAAAAAACTCTATCCCTCTAGGAAACTTTGTAAGAAAGTGAAATACCAAGTATGTTGTTAAAAAAAGTGAAATCATTACTCTCATACAGTCATAAAAATGAACATATGTTAAAGATTTTATTTCACTCATTAATGAAGTATTATTACAACTAGTTCAAAGAATAATCCAAAAAAAGACACAGTTATAGATCAGGATATTGAAATAAATGTGTGAGTGGAGGCAAAACTGTTTGGGGTTGGAGGAGGGAGCAAGGGCAGGAGTAGAATGAAAGATTGTCCCTCTCACTGAACAAAATTCATTTGCATGTAATTAGACAAGGATAACTGAATTGTTATCAGCTATCTACAAATTACAGATTTGTAAAATAGCTCCTACAGAGTCTGAAGAAGATAAGCAGAAGGGTGTAATATAGGTGATGCAAAGATTTTCACTGAAGCACATATTTTTCCCTATAACTGTCAAAAGAAGAATGTGATAGACCTTATAAACATAGGGTATCTGATTAAAAACTTTAGGACTAAGAATTGCTTTATGTAACCTTTTACTTTATGGCTTGAGAATGAAAATTAACCTTTAGATATTTTAGAGATGTAACACTTTTCTGATATTCTCATACTGTATACTTAACACATACCTTTCCTATTACATGTCGCCCTTCAGAAGTAGCTATAAAAGGATAATAGTTAACTTGGTTTAAGTAGTCTTTCTTATATTTCAGTACTTCCACTCATGACATGGTCTTTTTTTATATATTGATACTAAGGTTAACTTGACAAGTATTTTCAAAGTACTGTCTTGTCTGGAAATTTTTCATTTTTCTATATGCACATTTATATATACTAACTACAGGTGAGGAAAGGGTAGGTCTCCAGTTCAATTCCTGGTCAGGGCACATGCCTGGGTTGCAGGTTCACTTCCTGGTCAGGGTGTGTAGGAGAAGCAACCTATCAGTATTTCTTTCTCACATTGATGTCTCTCTCTCCTTCTCCCTCCCTTCCCCTCTCCTTAAAAATAAATAAAAAATCTTTTTAAAAAATGTTCTCTCCCTTTAATATAAAATATTTAGTAATGAGCTACTCATTAAGTTATTGGGTAGTATTAATTAAGCAAATATTTAAAATACTAAATCTGTTGAATTTTATTCCTTTCATGTTTCTGTTTTATTATTTAGCATTAGCATCTTGTTTTAAGGAAGATGTATAAGGAATGTACAGATAAGAACATTATACTGGAAATCAAGAAAACTAAAATCTAAGTACATTTGTGCTGCATGACCTTGGGCATGCATGTCTCTTGATCAAGTTGGGCCTTAGTTTTCACATCTGCAGAATAAGATTTGAATATAGTAATGTTTAAATATCTTTACGCAGGAAAATTCTGTCATTAGCTATAGAGGAACTTTTAATAAGTTCATCTACAATGTTTACAACTACTTTGTTATACTGCTAAATTAACTTATGTCCTTTTTTTCTTTCTTCTCTCTCCCTCCCTCCCTCCTTCCTCCCTTCCTTTCTTAGGATGTTCCAACAAAATTAGTGGCAAAAGCCGTTCCCTTGCCAATGACTGTCCGTGGGCACTGGTTTCTGAGCCCAAGAACTGAGTATACAGTAGCAGTGCAGACAGCCTCAAAACAAGTTGATGGTGATTATGTTGTGTCTGAATGGAGTGAAATTATAGAATTCTGCACAGCAGGTAAGAGAAATAGGTACAAATAAAGGAAAAAATCTTATATAATAATTCCTGGAAAGCTAATTACAGAAAGAATTTTTTTGTAATTAAAAGGTGATATGTATCACATAATCATTGGTGCATTGCCAGTAACATTGTGTAACGGAACAAACTGTTGAATTGATTGGAAGGAGCTGAGGTTCTCGGCAGAAGCTGGATAATGGTATTAAATTAGTTCTTTGCTGCATGCATAGTTTGATTTTTCAAAGTGAAAACTTTGAAAATTGATGCAGTTTGGAAATATATTCAGCATATTTTGAGAAAGCTATTTTTTCTCTTTTTCTTTCTTCTTTTTTATTGACAGAAAAATCCTTCTCTAATTTAGGATAAAAGGCAGATCTCTGTGACTGTCCCTCACCAGAAATGTTACTGGATTTTCTTCACTTGAGTGCTGAAAACCTACCTCTAACTTAGTGTCTTGTAGTATGTGTGTGTGCTTGTGCACCTTTACTTTGTTAGAAAATAACCTCATAGCCATTTGGCATTGGGATAGCTGATGTGGAAAGCCCATCCCCTTTTATCTTAAACTGTACTCTTATATTTATATTATAAATTTATATTTAATATAATTTATATTTATATAAATTTATATATTTATATAAATTTATATTTGTATTATAAACTGTACTTTTATCTTAAACTGTATTCTCTTATATTTGAAATGTTAGCATTCATCTCTTCATTTATCTCTTTATTCATTCAGTCAAGAAACATATTTATTGAACACTAAAATAGGTGTTGCAGGGATACAAAGATATCTCTAACTGAATACATCTGTCATTCTCCCTTCTGCCTCTTAGAATGCTGCTTTGTTTCCTCTTTATCTAGGTGATTGTTTCCTTAATAAATTGTAGAGAGGCTGAGTGTTTTACATAGAGGAGCTTGTAGAAAAAGTCTTAAGAACAGTTTGCCTTACTTACTGCAGGTTGCTTAGTAACTTCTCTCAGCTGAGATATCTTTCAGATAAATCAACTATTTTTCCCTACAACCTAATACTTGCATTATTTTACACAGAATTTGCTTAGGTACTGCTTTATCTCATGTTTTATTGTTTCTTAATCTAAAACTGAGTATAAAACTTATATAGATATGCTGAATGGTTGAAATTTAATTCTATTATTTTGATTTTATTGTTAACCTTTTTGTTTATTCTATGAGAAAATTGCTAAGGATTGCAACATCCTTGTTTGCTAAGGATTTCAATGTTTGAGACTAAAGAAAATATCTCTGTTACCTCATTTTCTCTTATCTAAGATGTCATTGATTTTAAGATTCACCATTTTATGTATCACATTTATTGTCAGACTCATGTCAGAGATACTAAAATGTTTTTTAAAATACATTTTAAAATAGATGAAATATGGTATTAATCATAGACCAGTAATCAATAAGGAAATAGCTGAAGATTTCTATAGTATATTGAGTAAAAAATTCTCAACATAATTTATACCTGTATTTGATGTGTCTTGTTGGATTTATTATACCACATCAACTTTTTACCTGAATTAAAATTACTCTTTGGAATCCTTGTGTTTACGTCTCTTACTGCATTTCTTTCCACCTACTTTCATTGTCTTCCCAGGAATATTTGAGTAAGACACAGTAAGATACGTACACATTTTCTCTAACGTTTGAATTCACACTATTTTCCATAGGACTGATGGAACTGAACTGTATCATAGTAGTTGTACATTAAAAAGAGCTATAATTTACCACGTGACATTAGAGAAAGGTGTGAAATATTATTTCTTCTTTATCTTAAAACCTTTGGCATTTCTACTTCTGAAATTTTCTGTGTATGGATATCATCTTTCAATCGATACACACACATTTACTCTCTTCTATAATCTATTTAACTGTATGAGTATCTTTTATTTCTATGTATATGAAAGAAAACCTTAGGTCTTCTTTTATTTACAATGATCTACCTATTGTTCTTTTATTTAACTATACCCCATAATTCTTCTAAGGAAGTTATGGGGTAAATAATAAGGAAAATCCATCTTTTAAATGTGCCACAATATTTTTTAATAATTTTGCATCTTTATTTCCATGAGTAAAATGTATGAGAAACTTAAACTGTTTAAAGTTTGTCTCAGTTTATTAAAATAATGCAGACTGTTTTACCTCAGCTTTATCAATAACCTCCACTCCTAAATTTTAGGAAAGCTGTTTTGTATAAATTATATTTTAATCTGGATATCTCTCTCAAAATTCCACTCAAAATTTATTGAGCACATAGTGTGTGCTATGTACTGTGCAAAGTATTGGATATAAAACAGAATCCCACATGCTAATCTACTTTTAGCTTACTCTATGATAGGTAAAACCCTGTGCTTACCTCATAATAAGTGATGGTTGTCTATATATTTAGTTTTCTTTAGACTCTGAGTCTTTATTTTTTAACCTGATCACCCAATTTTGCATGGTACCTAGTATATTATATGTTCTAATCTAAATAAATGTTTGTTGAGCCAATGAAGCGGTGAGTAAACAAAACACGAGCAATTCAACTAGGTTGCTTTTATTTTGAAAGGCTTATAATCTTTGTAGATGAAAATTTCTGCTCACATTCTGGTTTAGGAGTTTGACAATCATCCTCAATTTCAGAGTTGGTGAAAAGGTTACTTTGAGAGATGCTTTACACTTTCAAAGAGTTTTGTATACCCAAAAACCATCAACTAAAAGCCAGAGACCTAGTCTCTAAAATAATAATTGTGCCCTGGCTGGCGTAGCTCAGTGGATTGAGCGCGGGCTGGGAACCAAAGTGTCCCAGGTTAGATTCCCAGTCAGGGTACATTTATGGGTTGCAGGCCACAGCCCCCAGCAAACGCACATTGATGTTTCTCTCTCTCTCTCTCTCTCTCTCTCTCTCTTTTTCTCCCTTCCCTTCCCTCTCTAAAAATAAAGAAATAAAATCTTAAAAAAAAAATTAAAAAATAAAATAATAATTGTATAAACATTTGGCAAATCATTAAACTGTGACAAGTCACAGTTTCTGCATCATTAAAAAAGCCATATTTAATCTACCCTGCCAGCTTTAAAATTGAGAGTAAATTAAATGAACATCATTATTTCTATCCCTTAAGTTCTATTTGCTGTTGTTTTCAGGTTATAAGCTTTTCTTATTCAATTTATCAGCTAATTGAAGAAAAACTTGTATGGTGCTGATTGACATTACTTGAATCATGCAGAGTCTATATTCCTTATTAACATTTTTGTTTCAGGATCTTTCATTTCAAAGCATGAAAAAATGTGAGAGTATTCTCAAAAACAACCATAAGCCATAACAAAAATATTTTTGTAGAAAGAAAACTATGTCACACAAAGACGATGAATGTTTGTATCGTTAAGTGCAGTTTCTTATTAGATGAATTTCTAAAGGTGAATTTTAATAATCTTCAATTTATAAAGTAGGCAGTCGGTATTTTTGGTAATATATTTTTAATAGCAGACATTTTTGTAATTTTCAGACTATTCAAAAGTTCACCTAACACAACTGTTGGAGAAGGCAGAAGTGATTGCAGGACGGATGCTAAAATTTTCTGTTTTTTATCGTAACCAGCACAAAGAATATTTTGACTATATTCGGTAAGGATCAAAAGCATATATATACTTATTTTCTTTACTAAATGACATTCCGAATTCTCGGCTTAAGTTTTCTCTCAGTCTAGTTCTGGGAACTAGCAATTTTAGTTTTCTTTTCGAAATAGTTGATTGTATTCTGGTTTAATTTTCCAAAATAAGTAAAAAAAAGTTAGATCATGGGATTTTTCCCACTTCATTTAGATTCCTTTCCATAATCATTTGTAATACCAATTCCTATCTATTTGAGTGAAAGATCTTAAATCCCCCAGGATTTTAGATTGATGAGCATTTCATGTACACACTCCTCTAATCCTCAATAACTCACTGCCTCTGTCTCATATCAACTACTGAATTTTCTCCTCCTCTTCTGAGTCTCTTTAAAGCATTAAAAATAAGAGAATAAAAGAGTGGTTATTTCCTAAAATATTATGGTGAATCATGTGGGATTTTCAGATTGATGCCTAAGTGGAAATCTTTCAACTGTTATCTTTAATTAATTATTCATGAGGACAGTCTCCTTTGTTTACTTTTGAATTCTGGTGTTTGGCTATTATTTCTGAGACAGTCCATGTTTACCCCTGGGAGCAGTTTCCAAGAATTCAAAAGAATTTTACCCAACAGGTAGTTTCAATGTTTACAACCCTTTCATATTTGTAAGAAAAAAATTCAGGAGAGTAAAAAGGCAGATGTGTTTTTTAAAGTGAAATTAAGTATTTTAAAATAGTAAATCCTATATGGGTTCTAAAACTTAATAATTACAAATTATAGTAATCCCTATAACTTATTTTTAAAAGTCTTGTTTTCACTGTAATTCTTAAATTGACAGGATATTTTAAAAAAATTAGGAACCTTTGTTGTTTGTTTCATACCACCCTAGTTTTTCTTAAATCAAGATCATGATTCCAGATTTAAATGAGCTCCAAGCTGTGGAAATGCAAAAAATAAAAATAAAAATAAAAAATTTGAGAGAAAAATGATTTTAGGCATCTTTGCTGTTTAAAGGAAGTATTTTATAGTATCATATGTTTTTATATATTTTGAGGGCAAAAAAATTCCTGCCTTCTGTTTGAATAGTTTCTGCATATAGAATTTAGTTCATAACTTTTAGCTGGTAAATTTTCTACCCTTTAGTCTATATAATTCATGGTGGATACCATTCACTTAGAGAGTACAAAATGAGAGATACAACAGAAATTTTTATACCTGTCAACTGTTGAATGGAAATGATCATATATGTACTCACTAAGAAAAGTATTTTTTATATTTAAACATAAAATTTGAAAACAAAAAATATCCACTATTGCTATTTTTTAAATAAATACAGCAATAGAATGAGTACATCTTTGGTTTAGATTCCTGGAATACTGCCAGTGTCTATTTTAGGTGGCCACTGGAGGTCAGTATTTCCCTGATTTTCTTTGTTCTTTGGGTGGGAACTGGCCTGTTTTCAGGTCCTTATATATAAAATTGGCTTCATGTTTCCAAAAATTCCTCCAAGAAGAGAGCGTGTGGAAAATGCAAAAAATTATCATATGTATTGTATATATATTCAAATATACTAGTGGGAAAGATGTATTTACTAATAAGGATTTATTTTTGTTGGATTGTCCATGGTAGTTTTAAAATTCATGTAAATTATCTTTTTTTCTGACCAAGAAATTTATTTTTTTAAAGAACTCCAAAGTTTGCAAGAGAACATCCTTTCCTTAGGGTCAAAACTAGAACTTAGCTACCTATAGGTAATATCAAAGATATCTTCTTGATGTGATATAGGATGAACATTTAGGCTTTTAATAGTAGACAGTTGACTTTTAGACCCATCACCATTCAAATCTGTAAATCAGTAGCTTTATCGCTATTGTACCAAGTATTGACCATTTCTTTTCTTTTGCAGAGAACATCATGGTAATGCTATGCAGCCTTCTGTCAAGGATAACAGTGGTAGCCATGGCTCTCCTATTAGTGGAAAATTAGAAGGCATCTTCTTCAGCTGCAGCACTGAATTCAATACTGGGAAGCCACCCCAGGATTCACCTTATGGAAGATACAGGTTTGAGATTGCAGCAGAGAAACTTTTTAACCCCAATACTAACTTATACTTTGGGGATTTCTACTGTATGTACACTGCTTATCATTATGTGATTCTTGTTATTGCCCCTGTGGGATCACCAGGAGATGAATTTTGTAAGCAGCGTCTTCCTCAGCTAAATTCCAAGGATAATAAATTTTTGACCTGCACAGAAGAAGATGGGGTGCTGGTTTACCACCATGCCCAGGATGTCATTTTAGAAGTCATTTACACTGACCCCGTGGATCTTTCTCTGGGCACCGTGGCAGAAATCACTGGTCATCAGCTCATGAGTTTGTCTACGGCAAATGCAAAGAAAGATCCCAGCTGCAAAACCTGTAATATCAGTGTTGGACGTTAATGCCCCCTTTTCTTACTTTTATTCAGCCCCTGTCCTTCTCTTAGGAGAATTGATCATCTGTTGTCCATTTTCATCACCAGATGTTTTCCACTAAAGCATGCTCATGTCGCTGGCACCAAAAGCAAACTGCCACTTTTCAAATTTCATTCAGAGTTGTTTTAGTGTTTCCTATTCCCTACCTTTCCCACTACTTTCTATGATGAAATATCCTGTTCTCCTGACACTTTATTGCCTAGATGCTGCAATGTTTTTATTTGTTCTTTATGCCAAACATAACAGAAACAATTATATAAACCGCTTTAGCAAAATACAAAATAACAGCTTATAAGTGGTGTTTAAATATGCATTCATTTTAATCTACTGAACAAATATTGGGATAACTCCAAACCGCATGAAGGGTGTAATTGCAGCATGAGTTAAATCTTGAAGCCTAGAATTGTCAGCACTTCCAACTTGTTGTTTGACAGTGTTATTTATGTTATTTATATTAGCTAACAGGAAACAACTACTGTGTTTCAACATAATAAATATAATAGAAAAATATTTTATTTGTATTGTATAAAATATTTACAATCAGAATATATAGTTACATTTTAATAGCAATTGTGTACATGTCACGAAACCATTTCCCTTATCAAAGATGTAGTTTGTAAACCTCAAATAGTTGTGTATCTGTCCTGTTACAAGTAGGTGACTTCAATTAAACAAATTTATGAAGGACATTATTCTGATTCTTAAAAGTTACAAAATATCAGGTAAATACAGCAAAAACAATAAGCCTCTGAAATACTCAATATTCTTCCCATCCAGACTATATGAAAATGTGAATTTGCTCAACATCATGCTTAAATATTACAGAAAATAGAACTACAAACATGGCTGGTACAAGAGAGAAAATGTCGACCTTATTTTTACAAAAGCAAAAATAATAAATGTGTTTTAGTACAAAATAACACAAAACAACATACACTAAAGTTGATGAAGCAAATAAAATATTCTGGCTTTTTTTCCAAGGTGTCATAGCAAACAATTCTCAAATCTTTCATTTTATACAGAATGAAGAATAACTATAGCTCATGAGAGATCTCTTTAACTTTACAAAGTATAGACCTTGGAACATTAAGAAAAATGCATATTCCCAATGGAAAAATAGTTATATAATCTTAGTTATAGTAAACAAAATGATTAGCAATCATAACTATGATCACATTAGCTATATACTGCAGACACTTATCTATCCAAAATACCTATTTTCAAATTTCAGTACAATATTTTATTTTAATATAAACATCTGTCAATCATAGACAAAGATAATTCACAAAGTACATGCTATCAGAATGAACTTTGGTAATCAGAAATGTAAAATTTCAATTAACATAAAATAATGTGCTATTTTTATATAGAAATAAAAAATTAGCAGTGACACATTTCAGTATATTTTAGGGTACTGAACGCCTAGCAGACATAGGAGACAAGGTAGTAGATCTTTTTTAACACTTAAAAATCTATTAGAAGTTTCAAATAAGTTACATTCTTACTATCTGTATTCCTTCCTACCTAAAAAGCAGAGTTTCTTTTCCTCCTCTCATTGATTTTTAAAAATCATGTTTTTTCCCATAAATCAGCATAAGCAATCTTTGGACACTAGACTTTCTCTAACAAGTGGCCCATTGAACAAGTGGATGCCATGTATTATTTAGAATTGATAAAATATTAGGTGTTTTCTGAAATATACTGACTGTGAGTTTTCTCCTTGGCATAGAGTACATTGAATTTTATTTTTCTAATTATACTGTTACATATTATATTCCCCCCATTTAAATCTCTTCATCATTTATAATTACACTTGCCATCCCTTCTTAAAAATAGCTAATACTACCACTAAAGTGCTTCAGTTTCCAGTATGTCAAAACTACTTACTCAGCAAGAATAGCAGAGGAAAATAAACTTTTTCTTGGATGAAAGTTATCACAAACATTTCTTGAACTTCAAATTGTTTTAGCCACATCTTGCTTGCTGATTAGGACCTCTAGTAGTCTCAATTTGGCTTTTATGTGCTTGTATTCATAGTACTCATCCGCCATGGGTATCCTATCTTCCTTTTGTGGACTTCTGCAAAACAGAAAATACCATCTGTTCACACTGAATCAAATCATTAAAAATCCTTTCATAATTCTTGAGAATCTGTGGGGTAGCACTTTCCACTTGCTTTTTGCATCATGTCTTTTTTACCTTCCCTTTTACCTTCATTCACTCCCTCTTCTATGTGTTATTACATTTCTGTATAATAGTACCCTTTGAGAACTTGAATGTCATAGGTGTTTTGCCAATATATAGTCCAGTGCAAGACATGTAACAATAGGGCAAGTGAAAAAAGGTCTGAGAAAAAAAACACCAGAAACTTAAGGCATTCCTTGTCTAGTCTTTGTCCCATTATCCATGCCATAGGTCCATGCCTGTACAGAATATTCTACCTTTATAGCGATAGTTGGTAAAAAATACCAAGTAAAAATACTGCATAAAAAAATCATGCTAAAAAATAATGTATAAGTTTACAATAATAGAAGGAAAAAAGCTCAATGGCTACCTTACAAACATGAAATATTTCCAAGTTTTCTTCACTGAGAAGTTCTTTAAGTAATTTATGAGTTTAATTTCAGCAGTTCTCTTGGCACACTGGCTCGAAGAAGACATACGGTAATGCATAGATGTTTAGACATAGCATTCTAACTACTACATGTTCTTGCCATTTACCTTGAATAACAATTGGGTAACATCTCTCGTCAAAACCGTTTGCCTTCCCACAACAATATGTTGCCAGGACATGTTCCCTAAAGGGCAGTAATTGCTTCAGGATTTCAGAAGGCTCTTATCTCCTTGATTGATAAGACGGCCAATTGCTTTTAAGACATTTCCACCCATGATTTTGAAATAAAGGGGTAGAAAACATAGATGAAGCACTGCAATTGCTACTAAATATAAAAACAAATACTCTTCAATATTAGAATGGCTGATAATGGGTATACAGCAAACATTTAATGTTTTATCTATACACCCTTCTGTTTTCCCAGTACAGATAAAGACATATCTCTTACAAATAAAAAAACTAATCCCTAAAAATGTAGTTATCTAGTTGTGTTGTGCCACTGTACACTGCCCTGCAATATTTAGTGTAGAACTCAGTATTCAAAATCTATAGACAGGGTTCCTCTTAAATGTCTGAATTATATAACAATTCCTTTGCCTCCATTCTGTATTATGGGCAAAACTTATCATATATGGTGTCTAAATATCACCTTAATTTGTGTAAATATTCTAACTGAAGAAATGATCTAATTTATAGGAAAACATGAATTGAACATGAATAATCTTATGTAACTTTTCCCTTGTCCTGCATTATTCTCCATTTTGGCTAATAAACAAGAATATATTGGCCAGAATGAAAAGCTTCTCTAGTATTTCCTGAAGCAGTTTTGCCATTATAGAAAACATGCTTAAAGTGTTTATTAACATAGTTCCCAAGTCATAATTGTTAATGTCAAATCTATATGATTATGCCTCTTGCATGGTAAATATTAAAGCACATTTATAGTACCTTAAAATTCCCAGTAATCTATTTGCATGATTATTTTACTTTATGGATAGTTAGGCCTTCCCAATAAAATGTCTTATGAAAACAAGATTAAGATCCATATTTTGTATCCATTCAACTAAATGATTTTATTTGTATTATATCATCACTTTTGCATTTAGTTTAAGTATATTACCACAAGAGGGCAAACAACCTCAGTCAAACAAAGACTTGTCTGAAGTTGGTTCAGGACTCACAGGGGCAGTGGAATGCTATATGTAGAACATAACTTTCTGTATGTCAGAAGAAATGCCAAATACCACTGCACATCTATTAGGCAGGACTACTAGTATATTGAGAAGTTCTCAAACTCTTTAAAATAGACTCCTGGGTTCACATAGGTGAAAATGTAAATTTAAAAGTTGTATGGAAATTTTATGAAGGAAACAATGGAAATAGAAACAAAAAAAAGAAATTATGTTTTATATTCTAAGTTTAATAGTCACATAACATACTAGATTAGTTAACACCAGCATTAAAAGTAACTTGGACTTGTAGCAGTCAACTGGTAAGGAAGATTCCAAGCAGGAAACTAGGTTGGCTACATCTTTATTTGCTGAATACAAAATGTTTCTGACTCAGTAGTTCCAGTTTTAGAGAGCATCCCTGAAGGACTGAAGTGGGAACACTAAGGCTAAGAGGTGAGTAGACCCAAGCTTTCAAATGCTTTAGAAAACAGTCTCTCTCCATCAGGGCATTCTCTTTCTGCTTCAATGAAAGCAGTCCAGGAAAGGCAGGTGCATAAATGGAGGGGAATACCGAGGAGCCTGTGCATCTGTGACTCCCACCTCTGCCACCTTATTAACTTTGTGATTTGGGGAAAATTATAAGCTTTATTATTATTTTTTAAGACTGATGCACATATGACAGCTATAGTTTCCCAAAGTATTCCAGGAAATCCAGTCATTTTGTCAGGATAGCTAATTGGTTTGTCACTATCTCTTCCAGGAGTAGACCAATAACCTGTACATATAATTTTGTTGACAATGCACCAAAATTTAGAGGAAACTAATGCAGTTCATAATGAAGACACTTTGGGCATACTGGGTTGACATACAAAAGAAAGGACAAATAGAGAATATAGCTACACATTTATTGCAGGGATAGAAACAATAATTATGAACTTGTGACTAAATCCTGAAAAAGTTAATTAAGGAGAGATACTAAAATTTAAAGGATATATTTAAAATAAAGAAAGAATTATTTAATAAGATGGAGAATAATGTGGAATTAAGTAACCAAGAATAAAGAAATTATGTGGGCTGAAAAATAAGGTTTTTTAAAGGTTTAGATAAATTAAATATTTAATTAAGGTTGGGGTTTTTGAAGTTCAGCTTTTATTTTTTAAACTTTGATGTCATATTTGGTAGCCACAGCCTTCCATAAACATACCTAATAATAGCATTATCAGAAAGTTGCATTAGATGAATTCTGGGATCTACATCACTGTGACAATTGTTTATATATCATATAAAGTCACTGTTCCTCAAAAATTCTAGCTCATTCTTAAAAATAATTCCCTAGAAAATATTAACCTAAATATTCCTCTGCGCACACTTACCTTCCTGTTTGTTTAAAAAATTGTTCTTCAAATTCTCTTAAGGCTTTCCGAAGTCTCTTCTTGTCAGCCCTAGTTTCTCGGAGATGGTCAAGAAGTACAGGCCTATATCAGGTAAAGTACATATTTGCCATAATTGAGCTCTGGCATAATTGAGAGATCATCATAAATAGACTTACCTATTTAGCAAAAGCATATCGTGATACAGAAGTGTTTTTCCTAAAAGGGTGTCTTTGGATCAGTAGGGCACATGTAGAGCCATGTCATAGTGGTACACATAAGCAGAGCAAATGACGTGACAAAAACAATGTCATAGGAAAGGAGAGAGAACAAGGACAGACAGGAGGCAAGCAGACTGAGTCCATTAAAAAAGTGATGAAGGTAAAGCCCATAAGAATGAATGAGGGAGAAACATATATTTTGAAGGAATACTCATCAGTATTTGGTTGGAGACCAAAGAGGAAAAGATTTTAAAGAAAATGCTATCCTTAATCAAGTATGGGGAGAATGGTAAAATCATTGGGAATAAAATGAATAAAATGAAGACCCAATAGAAAGCTACACTGTGAATTCTGCCCACTTCATTCTGCTATGATAAGAGAGGAAAGTCATGTACTTTAGAGCAGGAAATTTTATCTGGGGAACTTGTGTGGGGTTTCAGAAACTCTGAAATTCCTGAAATTATATATGGCATTTTCTTAAAAAAAAAAAAAAAAAGATTCTATTGCTTTCAAAAAAAAAATCTAGCACCCAAAATAAGTTAAGGACAGCTGCTTTAGAACAACTAACCAACTAGCCAACAAATAAAAGAAAAAAGGAAAGGAAGGAGGAAGGAAAACTGATTTTCTGCTTCCAAACAGGTCACTCATCTGTGAGCTGAAATTGACATACCAACTGATTGACATACCAACTGATTCTGAAAGCACACCAAAATCTCAACTTAAAATTTAGTCCATGATCTCACCTCATATTTGTAGGGATTCCATCCCTATCTTGGGGCATATACTTACACACTATTCATACATGTTAAAGAAAATCTCATAATCTGGCCTATCATATACAAACCAAAGGAAGGCCAAATGATCAAGAGAAATGCCAGCTAATGAACAATGATAATGATAACTCTAATGAAAACCAAATAGCTCCTGACTGAGGAGCCATTAGGAGACAATGGGAGGCTCCTTTACTTACAGCCAAGGGGATTGTCAATCTGGATAAACCATTTTCTCTAAATGGAACAGACTATGATAAAGGCCCTGACAACTATTGACTCACACAGTATCTCAATTCCTTTTTGATCCAGCACTTTCAAAGGCCCACAGCCAGACTGATGCCAGGCCCTGGTGAAAGATATGTAACTGTAGCAAACTGAATAGAAGCATTTATGGCATCTTTAGGACCTCATAGGGAGCCTTGGTTCCTCGTGGCATTGTCTTCTTTATTTTCCAGTTAAGAAGCAACCAGATTGTGCTTTTAAAGCTACTACTCTCTCTCTGGCTGATAGCATTTTTTAAAGAGTCTAATAGCGCTTCTGAATTTTCTACATACATATAAGTTACCATAGACCATTAAAAGGTGGTTCCACACTTAGGATTCATACTCACATGGTGGCCTCATGTAAATTGGACATGGAGAGGGCTGGTGGTTTGATTTCTTTCTTCTCTTCCAGTAGCAGGACCCTTACAGGCTCAGTCTCATTAGAGTAGGTGAGGTGATCGCCACCAGGAATGTGAGATGCTGGATTTGGCAAAGAAGGCTGTTGGCTTCCCTGTGGACAGTCTTCATCAGTGTCTTCTTCCTCCTGCTTATTGTATACAGAGTTAAATAAAGTTACAAAATGCTAAGTGCCTCTTGAGGAAGCAAAAATAGGAAGAAGAACCATAAATAAATACCATGAAAATAGTAGGTGACCTCTATGCCTACTGAGAACCGAAAAGGATACAACCCAAAGGAATTCTTCCTCAGTTGCATTAAAAAAAATTTAAAAATTAAAAAAAAAACCCTTACAGAAGTTAATTAGCAAAGAAATACCTATGCTGGGCTAAAATGCTCATCAAGTTCATCTCTGTTTGCTGGGCCAAAAAAGGCATAGACATCTAAGATGTGGTACAATCTGGGCTGCACTGCCCAGGAGTCACTCACTTTTAACTAGACCTTCTGGACCCCAGCTTCATAACAGTTATATGCGTTAGGATGGCAAAACACATTTTGCCACCCAGAAATACCCTAAATCAGATCCTGGTGTGGGCCACAATCAAATACAGAGGATACCTAGAAAATTGAAAAATTCAGGGAAGAGTTCTATGAAGGCCAAAGCAAAATGAAGTTATTCCTTAACCTATTCTGGTATTGCTTATCACAACCAAAACTCTTGTTTTGCAAGGGAATCTGAAAATCATACCCCATTTTAAATTATACTTAATGGGAAAATTTCTAAGATTATGAATCACTACTGTCTTTGTCTTTAAAATTGTGGAATTATAAATGTACTCCAGTGTATTTAAATTTATATTTGTTAATATTTATTCCATTTTATATTGATGTCTTGAGCAAGTGATTGTTTGAATATTGATGGAGTAGGATTTGTGGTGCTTTTCTAGTTATGTATTCCCATAAATTATTCTTTATTAAAAGTAGTCTAACTCAAGTTCAGTAGTCATGTTTTCTATTGAGATGAATTGACATATCTTATACAGTAATAGTCAAATGTTACCAAAAACAAATGCTGCATTATATCAAGTCACATGTTATCAATTTTCTTATTATATAAAAAAAATTAACTAACATATAGCATAGAAAGGCTGTCTAGCTGTGTTGTAATGACAAACTGAAATCCATGGTTTGTTCTCCTCATCTAACCAAAGGAAACAAATATTAAAACTGGCTTCAAAAACACAATTGCCATAGATTCCTGCTTCATAATAGTTTCGATCATTAGCCACACTGTTAGGTAGAGTATTGGGGTTGAGGGAGACCACATTTCTACTTTCTGAAAATAACTGGCCTGGTTAGCAGCACATACTGCCAAGAAGGCTCCTTTATAACTTTCATAGTAATGGCTCACTAACTAAACATAATAATACAAAGCACAAGTACAGGTTTCTAGTTAATGAAAGCATCCTGACTTACAATTGTTGGAATCAGGGAAGGTGTTGACAAGAGTTGCTTGATAATTCTGCATCGATCATAAAGAGGCTTTATGAGGTTTTTGTCTTGCTTAGTTACCTGAAAAGATATGAAATTGGTCACTGTTTCTTTCTCACATATTTTTAGCAGGCCAAAAAACAGTTCTGAATCATCAAAGTAAGAGATTATAAGAAAACAATACAACAGTAATTAGAAAAGGGGAGATCATTTATAAGATACATGCTTATATCATGTGTCTTATAAAGGGGAAATCATATATATAGCACATACCAATTTGTTTCTAGGATATGTTTCTTAAAGGATAGGTTCATGTTAGGACGGTGGTTTTTTAAAGCTTTTTGACTGGCTGGCATAGCTCAGTGGATTGAGCGTGGGCTGTGAACCAAGTATCGCAGGTTCGATTCCTAGTCAGGGCACATGCCTAGGTTGCAGGCCATGGCCCCCAGCAACTGCACATTGATATCTCTCTCTCCCCCCCCCCACCCCTTCCTCTCTAAAAATAAATAAATAAAACCTTAAAAAAAAAGAAAAAAAAGCTTTTTGAAGGAGTCCTCAATGTATAAATGGTAAGGGGCCTGTTCTTTAACTACTTCTTTATTTTAAAAAAAATGGGTAATCAAGACCTATTGATTTTTCTTCTAGAATGTATTTTATCTGGACTTTTGTGATTACATTCACAAATACCAGCCTTGTTCCAGTCTTCGTCACTATATTCTTGCATTATATACTAGCTTACTGGCTAGTTCTGATATCAAAACTATTTTGGATAAAATATAACCCTGATACCAAAACCTGGCAAGGACAAAACAAAATAAGAATACTACAGACCAATATCTTTGATGCATACAGATGTAAAAATCCTAAACAAAATACTCGAAAATTGGATACAACAATACATTAAAAAAATAATGCATCATGATCAAGTGGAGATCATTCCAGGGGCATGGGGATGGTTCAACATATGCATATCGATCAATGTGATACACTCCATTAAGAAAACAAAGGATAAAAATCAAGTGATCTGATCAATGAATGCAGAATAAGCATTAGATAAGATATAACATCCATTCATGATTAAAACACTCAATAATATGGGTGCAAGGAAAGCACTAAACAAAGGCCATATATGACAAACCCCCAGCTGTTGGGAACTGCCCTGCCTGGTTTCAGGAGCTGTAACCCCCCATGGCTAAGGCTGAGTGAGTGACCTTTGGACCATAAGTCACTAAGGAGACAAAGCTTATCTCCCTGGCAGGGGTGTCCCCTCTGCTTCTTTTACTTTATCCTGCCTGGCCCCCAATGTGTGATTGGTTAGCCAATGATGGGTATGATTCCTCAAGGGAGGGATGACCTAAGACAGGTACAATCATGGGAGCCCCCAGGGAAGGACTTGGGGGCTACAGAAAAGGGATGATGGACCCTCACCCCTTGGCTTTGACATAGCCTGAGTTCTCATTCTGTCTGCGAGAAGTCTCCTAATCTCTTAGCTGCCTTACTTCCCCTGCCTGACTTAAACCTGAAACAATGCCTTAATCCTGAAACAATGCTGGTGGTGGGTGCAGGCCTGTGCTGGAAAGGGCGGGTTCCCTAGGGCGATCAGGCCTAAAAAAGAATATATAAAATCCTGTGAAACCTGGTTTGTTTTGGATGCTCTCAATTAAATGATAAGGGTCCAAGCAGGAAGTGAGTTTGTTCCCTAAAGTTTTATGGCCATTTAGCTATCTGACCTTGACTTAAAATAGGCCCTCAGAGTTCTTTGTATGTTATCTATTGTTTGATCCTTACTGCCTGATAATGATTAATGAGCTTTACATAGACACCCTGTATTCCTATGCAAATTGAATCCAATAAAAGCCTCTCAAAGGCAAGGGTTGGGCACTCTCCTCTAGAGAGGGTGGCTGAGGTGTTCCAAGGCTTGCTCTCCCCTTGGGAGAGAGGTCAAGCTGTCCCTTTTCCTCCACAGGACTAGGCAGTCCATGTGAATTTATTTCGTCTTATCCATAATTCCATGGACACTGCGGGCTGGTGTCCGTGTCACTCAGCTAATATCATACTGAGTGGTGAAAAACTGAAAGCTTCTCCTCTAAAATCAGGAACAGGACAAGGATGCCCATTCTCACCAATTTTATTCTATATGGTTCTGGAAGTCCTAGCTAGAACAATCAGGCAAGAGAAAGAAATAAAAAGCCTCCAAATTGGGAATAAAACAGTAAAAGTCACCTTTTGCCAGTAACATGACCATATATATATATATATATATATATATATATGCATACATATATATATATATATATCCTTAAAGACTCCACAAGAAACTACTGGAAACAGTAAACTAACATAGTAAAGTAGGACACCAAATCAATGCACGAAAGTCCATTGCATTCCTATATATTAAGAATTAAATTTCAGAAAAAGAAATTTTAAAAATTCTCTTTTTCAATTATGACACAAAGGATATAACACCTAGGAATAAACAAAGGATGTAAAGGACCTATATACTGAAAACTACAAAGCATTATTAAAAGAGATTTAAAAAGACAATGAGGCCATGGCTTAGCTGGTTAGAGCATTGTGCTGCTACCCTAGATTTGCAGGTTTGATCTCTAGTCAGGGCACTTACAAGAAGCAACCAATGGATGTATAAATAAACAGAATAAAAAAGTGATGCCTTTATCTTTCTCAAATCAATTTTTAAAAAGATACAATGAAATGGAAATATATTCTGTATTCATGGATTGATTAGAAGAATCAACATAGTTAAAATGTCCATATTACACAAAGCAATGTACTGATTTAATGCAATCACCATCAAAACCCCAATATCATTTTTTAAAGAACTAGAACAAAAAAACATCAGATTTGCATAGAACCAAAGGTGGCCCTGAAAAGCCAAAGCAACCCTGAGAAAAAAGAACAGAGCCAGAGGTATCACACTACCTGACTTCAAATTATACTACAGAGTAACAATAATCAAAACAGCATGGTATTGACAGAAAAAACACACACAAAGACCAGTGGAACAGAACTGAGAGCCCAGAAACAAAACCTCATGTATATATGCAAATTATTTGACAAAGTAGCCAAAAACACACAATAGAGGAAAAGAAAGCCTCTTCAATAAATGGTGCTGGGGTAATTGGAAAGCTACATACAAAAGAATGAAACTAGACTACAGTTTGTTCCCATGTACAAAAACTAACTCAAAATGGATCAAGACTTATAAATATAAGATCTGAAACAATAAATTACATAGAAGGAAATATAGGCACTAAATGTATGGACCTTGGTCTTGGAGAAGATTTTATGAATATGACCCCAAAGGCAAGGAAAGTAAAGTAAAAAATAAATGAATGGGACTATGTCAAACTAAAAAGCTTCTGTACAGCAAAAGAAACTGCCAACAAAACAAAAAGGCAACCAACTGGATGGGAGATGATATTGGCAAACAACAGCTCTAACGGGGTTAATATCTAAAATAGATAAAGAAGTCATACAATTCAACACCAAACAAACAATCCAATTTAAAAAAATAAGCAGAGGACCTGAACAGACACTTCACAAGAAGACATACAAATGGCCAACACATATATGAAAAGATGCTCAACTTCACTAGCTATTAGGGAAATGCAAATCAAAACTACCTCATGCATGGTAGAATGGCTATTATCAACAAGACAAGTAATAACAACTGTTGGAGAGGTTGTGGAGAAAAAGGAACCCTCATTCACTGCTGGTGGGAAGGTAAACTGGTATAGACACTATGGAAAACAGTATGGCAATTCCTCAAAAAAATCATGATAGAATTACCATATGACCCAGCAATTTCATTTCTGGATATTTACCCAACAAACTTGAAAACATTTACTTGGAAAAATATATACACCCCTATGTTCACTGCAGCAGTATTTGTACTGACCAAGACATGGAAACAACCAAAGGGTCCTTTGATAGATTATAGGATAAAGAAGATGTGGTACATGTATGCAATGGAATATCACTCAGCCATAAGAAAAGATGAAATGCTGCCATTTGAAACAACATGGATGGACCTTGAGAATACCATGCTAAGCAAAATAGGTCAGAAAAAGCTAAGAACCATATGATTTCATTCATATGTGGGTTATAAAAGTGAAACTCATAGACACAGACAACAGTACGGTGGTTACCACAGGGAAGGGGGTTGGGGTTGTAATGGGTAAAGAGAGCCAAATATATGGTGACGGAAGATGATTTGACATCAGTGGTGGGCACACAATGCAATATACAGATCATGTAGAAATCTACACTTGAAACCTATTATAATCTTATTAACCAATGTCATCCTCATAAATTTAATAAAAAACAAAAATACGAAAGGGATGAAAAGTGCGATCTAATAAGGAAAATCTCAAATGCTAATGAGTTCACTGATAAGTCACAAATAATACTAGCTACTTTGAAAATTTACAATCCTCTCTTTGCTTCTGTTTTGGCTTCTGGACTCCCTCTTAGGACCCACTTTGCAGCTAAGTAGCCACTTCATGGTTGACTATGTTAAAGCTCTCCCAGGAACAATATTGCAAGCTTTAGGTATCAAGGCCTACATGCTAGTACAGATGCTCTCTATTTAAAGGGCCTAATGTTAGCCCACTGCATAGATTAGCTTTATCTGAACAGGCTTCTGACACTTACTAAATTGTTCAACAAATACATTATTTTAGATAATGAACATAAATTGTCATTTAAATAAAGGTGACATTTAAAGAACTCAGAGATTTTTCTTTAATCTTCAGACTCTCAGTTGCATGTTCCCCTTTTACTAAGAAGCCCAGTTTGCCCAGCACTGAGGCATTTTGTAGGGCATGGAATTTTCAGTGATAAAAACAGCAAAGTCCAGGGAAACCTCGAGGGTTGGTCACACCATTCATTAAAGATCTTAAAATTAACATGTCCCAGACAAGCCTCTTGAGTTTTCACACTCACTCCCAATGACCCATCACCATCTTGGATGCTTCCTTTCCTTCACTTTCTCCAGCCCAATAATTCAGCATGTCCTTTCACTTCGTTATCCAAAATATATTTTGAATACGTCTATTTCTTTTCATCTCCAAGGTTACTATGATAGTCCAAGCCACTGTTTTATCCTCCCTTTTCCACTCTTTTCCCCTATGATTTATTCTCCACACAGCAATCAGAAAGATTATTTAAATGTAAGTCACTTCCCTGCTTACAACCGCTCAACAGGTTCCCAATACTTTCTATGGCCTCAAAGGTCCTGTGGGATGGGCCTGGGTCTGTCTTTCTGACTTCATCTCATGTCATCCTGTGCTCCAGCCCTGAGACCTGAGAATCACAAGTATGCAAAGCTCTTCCTTGAAGGCCTTTATACTTGCAGTTCCACCTATCTAGAATGTTCTTTGCTGCTCCCTTAGCCGGCTAATTCTTTCTCATTAAATGTCACCCATTGTTCTTCCTAATCATTCTGTTAAAGTACAAACCTTATCTATCTCTCCTATTATATCATCTGTCTAATTTGCACAATACTTATAAAAACATTGATTTTATCTGAGTTGTTTATTTGTTGTATCCAAACCTTCAGAAGAACATGAGCCCCCTGAGGGTAGTGATCCCCCCTTGACTTCTATATCTTATTTTTTATAGACAGTATGTATCATAGTTCACAATGCATAGTAGGCATTCAAATCTTTTTTCAATGAATAACTACCCACCAGTCACCAGGTTATCTCCCTTTATTGTCATCATAATTGCATGAGTAGGTATCATCTGTATTTTATAAATGAAGAAGTTGTATCTCAGAGAATTATTTACTTGCCAAGTATACATGGTTAGAAATGGCTCATGAAAGTCTGAGTCCTGCTTTGAGTCTATTATACCAATCCCAACTCATCCCTCAGTGTCCTAGTCAATTGAGTAGAGCATAGAATTAGGACTTTGGTGTTGACCAAGCTGTTTTTAGAGGTGTGGTCAAGTTAACTATAAAGTGCAGGAAATTCCATCAGAGGCACTGAAGGATGGAAAATCATGGATGTGCTACTCACTCACTGGCTATCACAAAAGTCTAGAATATTTGCAGGAGAGGGGATAAGTTAGCTGAGTGGATGAAAACCTTGTATTCACATGTCACACTATAAATTGATTGTTTTTTAAGTCTGAAACTATTTCATAAAGATAGGGGTGGCCAAAGGCCCATTTCCATTAATACTTGTATATCCCATGTCCCAATGTGATTGACCAGTCCAGGGATACATGGTAACCTTTTGGGATTTGGCACATGTTGCAATCTTGTGACTAAGACCAGATAATGTACAATAAAACAGGTAAAGCTAGCATTCTCCGCGGGAAGACTTCATTCCAAAGGTTAATATGCTAGTTTGTTCATGCATCTGTCCATTTCCTCAGGGAACATTTCTTCAATACCTATGTATAGACACTGTAGAATCATGAACAATAGACAGCCCTTCTATTCAAGAAGTTTAAACTATAGTACAAGAGACAAAATGGCACAAAGCACAGTTAGAGCTATGATAGAGTAGCTACAACTCTCACTCAAGAACTGAAGGGCAACCACACCACCCTTACAGTTGAGACAGGAAGGATCATAAAGCAGGTTCATTGGCATAAGTGAAATGTAGCATAGATAAGTAGGATGAGGAGGGATCAACCAGGTAAATGCTAATTGCTCACATCTTCATTATAAAATATAATAAATTATTCCTTTGAGCTCCAGACTCACATATTCAAATGCTTAACTGACAACTGTATCTGGATGTCACACAAGAGATTTCTAAACTAAAATGTCTAAAGCTGAAAACTTCAGATGTCTTACCTAATACTTCTTGAGAAACCCTACCTCTCTATTCTTATATAAAATTCTAAACTACTTCCCTTACTATGTATACCTATCCCTGCTTTATTATTTTTAATGAAACATGGCAAAATGGGATCATAATCCTAGTTTGGGGTTCATTTGCTAACTTATCAGGGGAAATGGAGGGAGAAAGGGATATGATATACCCCAGTGTCTTTGCTATTTGCTTCCCATCATTGGGCAGTGCTATAACTCCCAGAACGGCAACCTATCCTGGAATCATTGGCAACAGCCACAGGTTATGGCCAATAGCTCTCTAGGAACTCATCTGACTGACATTTCAGAGTCAGTCTCCTAAAGATGTTTATGCAGTACCAGAGTGCTCTGATAAATCAGTCGAAACACCACGATCTCACCAGCACTGCATGGAGTATCAGCCCTGTGAAGATAGGGTGAGGTACCTTAGAATCCTCCTGAGAGGGAAGCTGTTCTCTCTTCTCCTTCAAGCATGTCCACACAGCATCTGGAGTCTCCTCTCCAGAGGAGCTTGGCTCAGGGCCCACAGCTTCTGGCTTCACGTTCTCTGTGGGGACCATGGGTTGCTCACAGGACAGGTCTCTAGGTGGGCCTTTGGGAGTACTTCCCTGTTCCTCCGATAGCTTCAGCTTTAGTTCTAAGAGAAACACCATGAGTTACCATAAGCAAGATCTCACTGGCCCTGATAAGAGCACAGAGACTTTTAGGAATCCCCTCCCCTGATGCCAAGGCAGTAGAGACAGATGAACAGTGCTGAGGATGATGTTCCATGGGGCAAGGGCAGCTTTAATAGCCAGGGCTAACAGTGTGAGCTTCCAGTCAGAGGTGAACATAGAGGGACCATGGAGGCTGGGAGCTCGTGGAGGATCATACGTGTGAGTAGGCGTTCTCAAGGAAGACCAGTGCTACTCGGCCTTATAGTTTTCACCTGTTCCCTACCACAGCAGTTGAAATTATGCATGCATAGATTCATTTACTCAGGTTTTGAAAGTGTTGCAGTCATTAAGAGCCCCCATGGAAAAGCAAGTACTTCTGGAAGGAATTACACACAAAGATGCCTGAGAAAATACAGGAGGGATGGGAAAGGGGAGAGGCAGTGCCAGTCTCCACTTGAAAGATGTCACAATTTTGCCAGCTTTTAAAATCCAGGAATCACCATTATTATAATGTGGCTTTATATAAACCTACATAATTAAAAAAAGCCACCTGGGTCTTATCAGGGAACCACATTTCAGAATGTGTTAGGCAACTGGTCGTTTGGGTGAGGCTATTTAGATTGATTTCTCAATTACATAGCTCATTTTCTTCATTTGATGTTTTTAGTGAGATGCTGGCATGGTGTTTAAACACTGCATATTCCATACACCTGCTACATCATTACAATTTAATACCACTGAATTAATATTCCTTTCCAGTTCTTTAATCACCCTACTTCTAGAAATTTGGAAACTCTTCCCATGTCTATAAGTATTCAAATGAGTATGGAGAGACAAAGAAAAAAATTTATCATTAAGTAAACATAGCCTTTTGGAATGGATTTTAGAGTTAATTAACCCTCACACCACTGTCTCCAGAGAGAGAGAGAGAGAAAAAACAACACTGGATTAGGAGGCAGGGAACTGAGGTTTACACCTAGCTCACCACTTCCCAGCTACATAAACTTTCCTTCTCTCTGGACATAAAAGTCCTCATCGGTGCAACGTGGTATGTGAGGTAAATGACCACTGAGGCCTCTTCTGTTTCTAACATCCAAGAATCCAATAACCCAAGGAAGACAATGCTCCACGTGTTTAAATGTTCCCAGCACTGAAGTAAATCATTCTACTTGGGAGTCTGGAGTTCCTCCATCTATTGATAAAAGATTTATTAAATGGGGCCCCATAATGAAGGAGATTCAGGACCCTTTATTTCAAGATAAGGCCTTCATTCTAGGGAGGAGACAAGGTTAGAGGGTACAGGTAGAAGAGAATAAAAATACCTGGGAGCATAATGTCATTATTTTAACTGCCCCCCCCCCCCCCGAAAAGAGACTCTTGGCTGGTTTTACCTTTGAGCTGTTTACGGCCTTTAGCCAAATCATTCATCCATTTCAGGACTTCAGGATTAGAAGTCTTGTCGCCGTGGGAAGGCTACCAAGGGAGGAAACAGTGGGGGTGGAAAGGAAGGAAGGAAGGAGAGGGAGGTCAAGAAAAAGAGAAAAAGGAAAACAAAATTTTAAAAATAGCCAAACACACAAAGATAGTTCAGGAACAAAACACATAAAGCTGGGAGGTAAATTCAGGCATTAAAACTCCAGCTGATGGAGTTGCTTCCTCCACATTTTCACTGTAGACATTGTTTCTAAACATACCTGGTTACCCAGCATTATTTCACATACTCCTAACCATGCCAATGTGTCCTACAGTCTAACCCTCAGGCACCTGGTGGGCCACCCACACCCGACACATTGCCAGGCCATTTTTTGTATCAGTGTAGGTGATTGCATTGATACAAACCAGCATTACTTATTTTCTTGTGCTCACATCTGTGGCAGCTTATGACCACAACTTGCCTGGAGAATACTGGAAGATTTAGCTCCTGTCGACCATATGCTTCAAGCCCAAGAAAGGACACCCCTGGATCTCTAAAACTTGACATTAAATCAGTCTGAGCAATCAGTATATCAGGGTAATACCCAGACTACCAATCCTCTCACTGTTTATAGACTCAATATCCTACTGGGATAATGTTAAAATTAAACTTAATCAAATGTATTTGTCCTTAAGAAAATTACTTAGTCTCTGTCCTTCTGTTTCATCTATCAAATGAGAATTATAATACTACTCCCTCACAGGGTTGCTATGGGACATAAATTAGTTAATACACGCAAAACACTGAAAATAGCTCCAGGCATATGCTAAACACTATAGATGTGTTAGCTAGAATTACAAATATTATCATTGTTATTACTGGCAGTGATGATAGGTAGCAGTGTTACTACCATACTGTCAAAGAAACACTGAATATATTTTCATCAACAAATATGTAGGGGTGTGTATGCCCTGCCAAGTAGCTAACCACACTAGGGTATGGCAATAAGAATATATATTTTATTTTAGAAGGATATGACTGTTATTACAAATAATTCATCGTGATTTCTAGATTTCTTGTCAGAGCATAAAAGTGGATTTTCTACAGAAAAGAGAAACTAGGAGAAAAGAATATCTAAACATATTTAGCCTCCATCCCCATGGGTCAGTAAGACCTAAAAGTTACCCTGGTAACTTAAATGCAGGCTCAAGAAAATTAAGTTACGTTGAATTGAGGATATGAAAGGAAATAATCAGTAATTCTCGAGATGACATAATCATAAACGTCATAATAATAGCCAGTAATGTGTATAATGTTAGTGACAAAGTCTAGGGGTTCTGCTATGTTTCTTTAAGAATTCACTAAATCCACATAACATCATTCTTTTGATGAGAAAGGTATATGGAAATGAATGTGTTCCTCTCAAGATCAAAGGGGAAAATCATGCTTGCATGACAGGATCATCAAACGTACAAGGGATTAGATTCATTGTGAAACATCAGACATGCTTCTGTCACTTCTGGAATGCTGTAAAACCATACTTTTAAAATCAGGATGGAAAAGGTGACTGAAGGAAAATGACAGTGATTATTTGATTATTATTCCTTGGGAAGCTCAGAGGGGGATACTGTGGTTTTCACAAGGGAAGCAAGGTTCAGAACCATGGACAGTGATACAGAAGCCATGCCTCCAAAATACATGGCTTAGCCTGGTCCTGTCCACGGTTTGCTAGAATGATGCACTGTGCTCCTTCCTTGTTAAAGAGTCTAGTGCTTTGGCTTAGGTAACAGTCTGGCTATATGGACAGTCAATGTTTTATATTGTTTCTCTAAATCCTCACAAAATTCTCCACTCTAATATGAAGAATCAGAGTCTTTGGAACCTGTCTTTTTCACTGGATATGCTCCACATACTTAATGCCATCTTTTGAAATACTGTTAAAAACAAAAATCTAATACCCTAAGCCAATAACCACCAAAGTAATGAGCTTTCACTTCCTCAAACAGGACTTAGAATACGCTCAAGGCAGAATTTTGACAAAAATTTTTAAAGCCTAGAATTTTCAGAAATGAAATTTTTTATTTCCCTGCACCTGGAAAATCTTTCAAAAGAGGTTAAATCCAGTTCATAAGGATAGCTGCTTTTAAATCACATGGAAAGTTTTCTTATACAAACTGTGGCTCTTTCAGCCTTTTTTTTTAAAGGAACAATCAATTAGAATTTTATTTTATTTTTTATTGTTGTAAATGTACAGTCTCTCCACTTTCCCACCAGCACTTCCCATCCACTTCCACCTCCCACATTCAATCCTTCATCCCTTTGGCTTTGTCCATGGGTCCTTTATGTATGTTCCTTGGCAAACCTTTCCCTACATTCCCCTATTATACCGCTCCTCCTTCCCCTCTGGTTACTGTCAATGTGTTCTTTATTTCAATGTCTCTGGTTATATTTTGCTTGCCAGTTTGTTTTGTTGATTAGGTTCCACTTATAGGTGAAATTATATGGCATTTGTCTTTTGCCAACTGGCTTACTTCACTTAGCATAATGCTCTCCAGTCCCTTCAGTTCCAGGCTGTCATGAATGGCAGGAGCCCCTTCTTTCTTTCTGCTGCATAGAATTCCATTGTGTAAATGTACCACAGTTTTTTGATCCACTCATTTACTGATGGACAGCTAGGTTGCTTCCAGCACTTGGCTATTATAAATTGTGCTACTATGAACACTGGGGTGCATAAGTTCTTTTCAATTGGCATTTCAGGGTTCTTAGGGTATAATCTCAGCAATGGAATTGCTGGGTCAAAAGGCAGTTCCATTTTTAGTTTTTTGAGGAGATTCCATACTGTTTTCCACAGTGGCTGCAATAGTCTGCATTCCCACCAACAATGCACTAGGGTTCTCTTTTCTCTACAACCTTGCCAGCATTTGTTTGCTGATTTTTTTATGATGGCCATTCTCCCCCATTGTGAAGGGGTATCTCATTGTGGTTTTAATTTGCATCTCTCTCATGGCTAGTGATGCTGAGCATCCTTTCCTATATCTCTGGGCCCTCTGTAAGTCCTCCTTGGAGAAGTGTCTATTCAGGTCTTTGCCCATTTTTTAATTGGATTGTTTGTTTTCCTGAAGTGGAGTCATGTGAGTTATTTATATTATTTTGGAGATCAAACCCTTGTCTGAGATATCATTAGCAAATATGTTTTCCCATACAGTTGGTTCCCTTTTCATTTTGCTGATATTTCCTTTAGCCATGCAGAATCTTATTTTGATGAAGTCCCTCCCATTTGTTTATTCTTTCCTTTGCGTCCTTTGCTCTGGGGGACATATTGGTGAAATATTGCTGCATGGAATATCTGAGATTTTCTTGTCTCTGTCCTCCTATAGGACTTTTATGGTGTCACAACTTACATTTAAGTCTTTTATCCACCTTGAATTTATTTTTGTGTATGGTGTAAGTTGGTGGTCAAGTTTCATTGTTTTGCATGTAGCTGTCCAGATCTCCCAACACCATTTGTTGAAGAGGCTATTTTTATCCCATTTTATGCTTCTGCTCCCTTTGTGAATACTAATTGACTATAGAGACTTGGGTTTATTTCTGGGCTCTCTATTCTGTTCCACTGATCTATGTGTCTGCTCTTATGACAGTACCAGACTGTTTTGATTACTGTAGCCTTGTAATATAGTTTGATGTCAGGTATGGTGATAACTTTTGGACTGAATAACTCCAGTTTAAAAGACCCCCAAGGGCCATATACTAAGAAATTACACAGTATAAATTTTGTTCAGGGAAATTATAATGAGTCTCCAGAGTCCCTTACTGAGGGTACCACTGGATTAGAATTATGGTCTGCTAATGACAGTTCAAAACACACATCAGAAAGATTTCTGGTTTAGGAGTGAAAATATCTGAGTTGTCTTGGCTAGATCAAGCCTTTGCTGTGTGATGCTGGGGAAGTCACTTCCCTTCTCTGGGCTTCAATTTCTCAATGGCCAAATAAGAAATAAGATTGGCTGAGCCCTTCTAGTTCTAATTTCTCTAGCTACTATGAAAATGGGCATCTGGCTAAAGCAGCCTGTCCTAGGTCTATGAGTTTAACAAGAGTTAAGTGTTAAATCAGTTGCCAGGAACAAACACAGTTTGTATAGGAATGTGCAATGGTTATGCTTGACAGAGAGGGGAAGATGTATGTCACACCATGGCACCAGACTAGCTAGCACAGAGGCCCAGCAGGAGGTCAGATTGAAAAATTAGCAGCAAGTGCTATTCTTTGCGTGCTCAGGCTGCCAGGAAGGAAAGCCTTAGGCATAGCAACCAATGGAAGCCCAGTGACAATGTCAAACCTCCAAGCCCAGCCTGGCACCCTGACAGGAAAGGTGAGAAGAAGCCCTATTTCCTGAGACATGACAGGTTCTGACTACTCCAAAGACTAGACACTGAAGCAGGGCTGACCTCGAATCCTCCTGGCCCTACTGCACCTGGATCCATCCATCTGCATGTGTGAGTGTTTAAGTGTGTGGACATGTGTCTACTCTGCTTCTAAAGCTTCTCTAGACAAAGACAGGGGGTGCTAGGAGAAATTCTCTTTTAAAATAGGAAGGTTCTAGATACTTATAGTTGAGAAAAAGCCCCATAGCTTGTGGTCACATGGAGGAAAGTGGAGATCTAATGTGTACAATTCCCCTTCAACTTCTGACAAGCAGGGGCTGCCAAGGGTTTGCCTGTTCAGATGTCACTTAAATACATTCGAAAATTGGTAACACCCAGAACCACTTATTTCCTTTGTGCTAAACACTGTAATAAGCTTTATGTGTGTACTTTCTTACTTAATACTCGCAAACTTCTGAAGTCACTACTGATATTAATTCTACTACACAGACGGATAAGCTAAGACTCAGAGAGGTAAAGAAACAAATCCAAGGTCATAAGTTCCTATGTGGCTGTGCTGGACTTAAATCCAGATCAGCCTAATTCAAAAACTGCCAGGTGAGCACAGTTAACAGGCCCTGGGAATGGAGCCCATACTTGTCACTCAACAGTTTCCAACATGAGGGCCTCACAAATCCAATAACACTCTCACAGCAAACATGGAAAGTTGGCTTCTCTAGGATACCTGGAGCTTTAAAACATGGATGCTCATGAATTTTACTTCTACTCCTCCGTTGTAAAACCTTCTCAAACTTAATCTACCACCCAAACCTGAACTGACAGAACATAACTACCCTAGGCAATTATAAGCCTTGCTGGGCCCCACTTGCCTTACCTATACTCCCAGGGTGTAGCCCACCCCTCTTCTCTATAAAGAAAACAGTACATAGCTATGACTCCCTGGTTTCAAAGAAGAGAATAATTTTTAACACCCTAAGTTAGGTTGTCCTGAAAGTTGATCTGATTTTTTTTCTATTTTGCAAAGCTACAATCCATGCCTTTAGTACATGTAAAGCCACTGTGGGAAATCCAAGATGGAACAGAGGAGTGGTTCATTACCGGCTCTTGCTTCCCCACCAGAACTTATCCTACACTCACAGGAACCTGCCGATTACCCCCGTATCAAGTGCTCAGTGAGCCTTTAAATATTTCAGGATGTATGAGGCATTATTCCCTGTTCTCTTTTATTCGAATAACAAGCTGTTCTGGGTCCTCTGCCAAAGACCCAATATCTTTGTGCAGTTCCACATGGACTCTATTTTTCTCTGTGACATGGTCACCACCAAAGAAAATAAAACCACCATTGGCTATCAAGACACTTACCTCTGACTATACCATTTCTTAGGTAGGAAAAGGCTCATGGTTACAACACTGCAGCACCAGCATGAAGCCAGTGTCTCTCTGATGGGAAAGGAGGGGTCAGGGTGTGTTTCTATGAGTGGCCCAAACAGATGTCACTTAAGAGGTTCCCCATCCATTAACCAGGAAGTACTTTAATGTCAAAGAAAACTCTCTCTCCCTCATTCATTCTGCAATTAGAGATTCTGTCCTTTGGGTTGTTAATAGGTTCTTATGAAAATGCAGATGGGAAGGGGTTAAAGAAAAAATAAGGACATAATTCAAGAGCTTTTGAAAATTTAAGTTTCAGGAACACTACTGATAGTAGGGTTCCTTGGAGGAAAAAAGAAGGAGGGGGATCAATAATCACATCAGTTTAGAAATAGAGTTGTAATTAATTGCTAGGAGACAACTTAGGAGATATCAGCTTATAGTGTGTGAAAATGAGACAGACCCAAGATGGGAACTCAATTTCTGATGGGTTGGCCAATGGAAATGGAGCCATCTCTGGTACAGAGGAGTACTCAAAAAGGAAAAGCCAACCCATCTCTTGACACAGTCCACGCTGGTACTTTAAACCCCATAGTCCTTACCCGGTATTTCTTCTCTTGTTCAAATTTTTCTTCAAATTTCCGGATTTTCCGCTTGAGGCTCTGGATGTGCTTGGTGAGCTGGGCAATGGTCTGCGGTTCCTTGCCCCCACCACAGCCACTCCGGGAAGAACTTCGGGGCCTGCCACAATTGTGGGGAGGGAGAGAATGATCAAAAACAATGGTCTTCCAGTAAATGCTGCTGCTACTCTACAAACCAAGCTTCCTGGGTTACCAGAGCAGTCCAGAGGGCAATGCATGATTTGATGAGTCTACCATAGTAGCATCTGCTCATTAATGGAGACCCCGATCACAGCACACCATTATGGGCAAACGTCATCAGGGACTTCAACAAACAAATGTTGGAATATCAGTCCAGTGTTGGGAACTGCCCCACCTAGTTTCAGAAGCTATAACCCCACCCCCCATTGGCTAAGGCTGAGGGAGCAACCTTCAGACCATAAGCCACTAAGGAGATACAGCTTATCTCCCTGGCAGGGGTGCCACTTCTGCTCCTTTTACTTCATCCATAATTGGTTCCCAATGCTTGATCAGTTAGTCAATGACTGGTAAGATTCCTCAAGGGTGGAACAACCTAAGACAGGCACGATCACGTGGAGGCCCCAGGAAGGACTTGGGGGGCTACAACAAAAGGGGGTGATGGACCCTCACCCCTAAGCTTTGACAAAGCCTGAGTCCTCATTCTGTCTGCGAGAAGTCTCCTAATCTCTTGGCTGCCTTACTTCTCCTGCCTGACTTAAGCCTAAACAATGCCTTAAGCCTGAAAAAATGCTGGTGGTGGGTACAGCCTTGTGCTGGAAGGGGTGGGTTCCCCAGGTGATCAGGCCTAAGAAAGAATACATAAACTCCTATGAAACCTGCTTTGCTAAGAATGCTCTCAATTAAATGATAAAGGTTGGAGCAGGAAATGAGTTTGTTTCCCAAAGTTGTGTAGCCCTTTAGCTAACAGACCCTGACTCAAAATAGGCCTTCAGAATTCTTTGTGTGTTATCTATTGTTTGATTCTTACTGCCTAACAATGATTAATGAGCTTTACCTGTATTCCTGTGCAAAATGAACCCAATAAAAGCCCATTGAGGAAAAGGCTCTTGGCCCTTCTCCTTTGAGAGATCGACCACCTTTCCTCCCCAAGCAGATCATGTCTTGGTAGACTTATTCTCATTCGTGGCAGCCAGGGGGGCCCTGCGGGCAGAGCCCCCCCCCCCCCACAGTCCAGGAAACACATTTCCTAAAGCTTGGAGGAAACCAATTTAAGACTAAAAAGAGACAGTCCTATTGTAGCATGATCCCTAGTAGAGTACATAAACTACACCTACTAACATTTTCAAGGAAGATTTAGATGAGTAGTTAACTTTTCCTGACATATAGAGCCTTTGCGAATCTGATGAATGGAATGGGCCTCCTCTCCAGAAAATGCATCTACCCTCTCACATGACACACACTTTACAATAGCAATAATTCACTAACTTCCTCAAGTCTATCAGCATATAGCCCAGGTTTGAATAAATTCATGAATAGCAGCTGAAATTATTAAGGAGATACTAGAGATTTTCCTGAATGTATTTTAGCCAAGGGAATCTCATTTTAGCTATGAATCAAAATTATTTGTGGAACTTAAAAAAAAGGAGAGAACACACAGTTCCATACTTTTTCTTGGGGCGGCAGCTTTTTTAAGCCCCCACTTTTCTAGAACCTAAGAAGAAATAGAGATGGACAACTAAGCATTGCTACAGTCCATCCACTGATGCCACTGTTGGATGTGGAAAGAATACTGAACTCATAAAGGATGATACTCCTGCTGTTTGCACACACATATACTTCAGTATCTGGGCATTTCACCAAGAAGAGTCAATCATGCAAACCCTCTGGTGGTGGCCTGTATCTCGTGACCATTTCCTCCTGTGATAAGAAGGCTGGAAACAGCATTCCCACTTAGAAAATACACCGATTTATGCCATTTATTGTTCAGGTGTCCCAGTTGCATTTGGTAGGCATGTTTGCACTATTTCAGACATACCTCATTGTAGTTTGTAAATGTAGTTTTTAAAAAAAAAACTATATAAAATGAAAATAACAAAACAAGGTTTTCTTACATCATAAACTGCTGAGTGCTGGGTGGAGAAGGGGCTGACTCAGGGTCTAAGTTGAATCTCTGGCTTTGGCTGAAGATGGAGCATCGAGGGGACAGCAGTGGGTTGTCACCATCAGTGATGTGATAGAGCAGCCGGCTGGTCCCAAAAGACTGAAGGTCTTCTGGGGCGCTATCTGCTTCATTCTGTCCATCTCTGTAGACTGGCATAGGGTCTGAGGAAACGAGATCAGGGTTTAGAAGTGACAGAGGGCTCGAGACTGTCATATTCCTAAATAAGAATCATCAACATTCATTATCTTGCCTCTTTGTCATTTCCTCCTTCTGGGGATATGAAAAGCTTTCAAAATACTGTCATGTTTGTTTTCACAGAACCATGATAAAAAATATTACAAAGCCACCAACAACAAAGAAATGGAAACACAAATTATTGTGGTATTGGTTATAGAGACAGCATAGCCCACAACTACAAACATCTTCTCTTTATTTCATATTATTTTTAAACACTGAAGGGTGAATTACAAAATGTTTAGTGAAAAAAAGGACAACAATAACATGAAGCTGGAACAAAAGATGATAGATTCTGAAGAAGAGAAGGGACAATAAAATCTCCAGTGAAGAAAGAGAGGAAAAAACGAAAGAGAGGAATCCCCAAGCAGGAAATTATTCAGTAGTCTTTAAAAATGATGCAGAACTCTGCTTATTAACATGGAATGATGTTCAAAATATGCTAAATTCAAAGCACAGATTTCAAAACAAAATGAATACTTCCATTTATATAAAAAGCATAGATTTAGGTATACAAAAAATACACGAAAAGATCAAAAGAAGCTATGATACATAGCAACTACAAAGCATGTTAAAATTCAGAATGATTGTTTCTTCTCCAAAATTTCATATAGCATTTTATTTTGGACAAAAATAAAAAACAAGAACAAAACCTGATCCAAACCCTCTGCTTAGGCAGCCCTGTGCCTAAATTCTCAGTGTGGTCATTCAATCCTTTTTTAAATGAGCTCATTAGCTCCCCACACCAGGGTCGGTCCAGAAGTGGGCAACCCGTGCTAGCTACAGAAGTGAGGACAAGCACAGTGAGGAAAGTTAGGGCACTGAGTCAGGGTGGCCAAGATGAGAGTCTCTCCATCACGGGCCTCAGTACAGAATTATTCAAGAAGCAGCCAAAACAAACTCCTTCTCAGTTCTGCCTAGCAAACAAGTCAGGACAACCAAGGCCTTCTCTTACGCCTACTATCCCAAAGAAGAGGAAAAGAAAGATTTTCTGGGCAAATAAGCAGAAACTGAAAATAATGACAATCCACTTTTCCAAAATAAACATTAATCACAATGTGGTACCGGATGAATCTTAATCAGGTTTAGAATGACCTGTGTTCTCTAAAGCTTGAAATGCAATTTGCTTTGTGTAGCATCAAAGGTCTGATTAGTGTGTTTTCAATTGGCTTCTTCCCCATTGGATTACAGACTGAGAGGGTGGATAACGCCTGCTGCACCTTTGAAACTCACTGACAGCACTTTTGTGTCCGTGGCTGAGGCTGGACAGGATGAGAGCTGGGGAGGAGTTGGAGCTAGAAGAATGCCAGGACCTGGACCACAGGCAAGGTGTGCTGCTGCGACCAACACGACTCACCACAGGCAGCACACTGTGGTCATAATAATTCACCCAGAAAACAACGTGGCTGTGGCAGGAGCCCTAGGATGTAACAGAAGAGTTACTAACCAAAAAATAACAGCGTACACTAAAAATCACCTTCAAAACTCACTAGGAGGCATAAACGTTCCATACCAAAGCATTTTCTTAAACCAACAGGCTTCGACCAGCTAAAAAGAAATGTGTTTTATTCATATTACCTTTTTCTGGGCAGTATCTTTTGATGATAATGATGGGGGGAAGAAAGGAATCTTTAGCAAGCTCCTGGCACTCACACATTTTTGCTGAAGTGGGAAAGGCCCGAGGCCTTCAACCCTTCATCTCAGCTATGGCCCCAGAGTCAAAACATGAGCCCCCTGGTGCTGTTTTGAAATGCCCAAATGAAGGCACCCGGGTTCCCAAACACAGACTGGAGTAGAGGTAAGAAAAGGGCTCAGCTTCTGAAATTCAGAGTCCTAAAATGTAACTTCAAAGAATCACAGATTATGATGTACAGCTCTTTTTTACCTGCACTACAATAGTAACTGTAAACCCCCATTTACATGGCATCTGCTTCTTCTGGTACTCTAGTAATTTACTAGTGCTGCTGAATTAACATCCCGGTCCCCCTCCCTCCAGCTCACCACTGAAGGAAGCCGTGAGCCAGAAATATCCCAAAGTGACCAGTTAAAACCCAACAAAGAGTCAAAAACTCATAATTTGGTAGCACCTCAGATCTTTGACCAAATTTAGCATTCGGATTGGAAAGGGCTTAATTAAATCAGCTGGTGCCTGTATAGGTGTGCGCATCTGTGCAGACAGAATTGCCGAGCTCCTTGTTCGGGAAAGGCCAGTGCAGCTTCAGAGCCAGCCATCACCGCTGGCTCTGGGAACAGAGCCCAGGGCCAGCACTTACAGGCTCTGCTCCCCAGTAGGGAGAAGCTTATGGCAGTATTAACTTGGATGGCTTCTGATGGTTCTCTGGGGAGACATTACTTTTTCTTCCAAAGGAAGGAATGGCTTGCCGGGGCCTGGCATGCAATGCAATGTGGTCTAGAGAAACGGGTCTAGGAACTAGGAGTCTCGGCTGGCCTGCCTGCTCTCTCGGGGCTCCAGGGGGTTCCCAGACCTCTCTCAGTGTCCTTGGTTAGCCCCTCATGCAGGGCTATGGTAGAAAAGGAAAAGATCTGCTGTGCCTCTTGCCTACAGTTGACAATACTGTAGTGTACTGTTAAAGTTGTTAGAAGCGTGGATCTCATATAAGTGTTCTTACAACAATAAAACATGTTTTACTTCTTTTTCCTTCTTTGTATTTTCTGAAATTTCTATAACAAATAAGTGTCCATTTTACTGGGAGGAAAAATAAAAGTTAATATAAAACTTTTTAAAGAGAAAATAAGCTTTCCTGAGAAAAGAAGTGAGAAACAGTGCCAGAGGCGTCATGACAGACAGCAAAGATGGCGAGTTTGAATCCCGGGCCCACCTCATTAAGAGAGACTTCACAAATACTAGACCCTTTTCAACCTCAGTTCTTAATCTGTAAAATGAGGAGAATAGCAGTGCCTGTTTCATAATACTAAGGGAGAATAAAATGAAATACAACTATCTTCCACAAATTTTTGTCTTATCCTCAAACCTTTTTTACTATATGTGTATATCGAAGTACAGATTATATATGTATAAAGCTATATATTTGTTATATATTTTAGACAGATTAATTTCAACCTACAGCTTTTTAAAATTTCAGCTTCACTCTAGGCCATGACGGCCAAGAAATCATAAATTTGATGTGCTAGTTACATTTTTCCCCACTAATACACATGAAAATAAATTCCTATTAGAACTAACACTGTTCATCCATGCATCTTTTATATAGCACATGCATTTGGTGAAACATTGAGGTAAGGCATGGAAACTGCTAAAAATAAAATAACCATGAGAACCATCATTTTAATAATTAATATCATCAAAGTAAGAAAGCTGAATATTACCTTCTCTTATTGAACAACAACTACACTAGGAGTCCCTATGGGGATAATATTTGAACTGAGAGCCAACATGCCCCTCAGCCTATTGTCCCTAGTACCAGTGCTCATTTATAAGAAAGAATAATAATAAATAATAGTTATGGAATGACTCATTATGTCCTTGAACTTGTCATAAGAGTTTTTGCATATCTTTAATCTTCCTAACAACCACATGAGGCTAGCAGCACTATGATCTTCATTTTGAATTCAGTAGGGAAAGTGGTGTGCCTGCATTAACTACATTCAGGGAGGGTGCGGCTAGTGCCTGTGGTAGAAGACTCCACGCCCCTGGCCCCAGAGCCAAAGAGTGTTTCCGGCAGCCCACTCACTGAGCAATAGGGAATGTAGAGAAGACAAATACTCATCGTTAGTGTGTGAAGGCCAAGAGAGCAGGGCTGACCTGGCTGCAACCCCAGGCAGAACCAGATGCTGTACTACAGCTGTCCCATGAATCAGTCAGATTTAAAAATAACTTTTTCTAATGTGAATTTTGAAAGTCTTTCACAATTTAAGCAAATCTCTATCTGCAACCATTTGAGATGGACTGCTGAGATCTAACTGAGCAATAAATTAGACATAGCTTTGTGGGTCTGTTAATTTGTCCTCTTGGGTTTGCTCATCATGGTGGGTTCTCAGGTAGCATTCCAAAATGCCAAACACCAGACTTTGTTGGTTTTAAAAGCCAACTGAGCCAAAAGCATGATTCTCATGAGACTCAAACATCAGAATTTTTAGCCAGCCTCCCAAAAGGGGGGCCACCAAAACAAAAGAAATAACCCCAAAACATCTGGTGCAAACACAATGATTTGGGTTTACAGTATGCTGAATCTGAGTGCCTGCAGGTACTAGGGGTTAGCTGTGAGGTCACATCAGAGAACACAGGTAAGCCTGAAGTCATCCCATAAGTAAGCCTGTAGAAACTAGAGAGCTTTTTTGCTCAGAGACCACAGAGAGAGGAGAAGCTACCTCTGAGGTTAGGAAAGACAGGGTAGGAATGAGGACAGTTGAAGAGGGACTCTGGGTTAGTGAGGCTGTCCTAGTTCCTGAGTGGTGGGAGGCTGGCATTTCAAGCAGGCTTCTGTGTGCCAGCTTCTGTGAATGGCCACCAGAAACATCAGGGAGCTACAGGGGTGGGAAATTTGTCACTCTGAAGGCAGAGCTGGGCTTTATGACAGGCACCTTGCAGAGCCCAAGAGGTAGTTTGCCATCACAGATAAAAGCATAGCCTCTAGGCTCAGAAACACCTAGATTCAAATGCTAGTTTCATCCTCTGTGTGACTTGGGACACATTACTCAATTGTTTTTGATCACGGTTTTCCCATCAGTATAATGGGAATTCATTCATTCAACAAATGTTTATTGACCATCTACTGTATGTCAAGTCCTGTTTCAGGTAAGAATGATAACAGTATCTACCTTATAAATTATTAGGAAGATTTTTAATAGATAAGGAAATCTTAAATGCTTAGAACAGTGCCTGGGGAAGAGGGCATAATCTACTACCCAAAAATGTTAATTGTTGTTTTGTATTTTTTGGTGGTAT